GGGGGAAGGGGGGCGGGGCGGGGGCGGAGGGGAGCCAACCGATACCTGTCCACGCAGCTCAGACACGATTCACAGAGTGACGGGGAGGACCGCAGCTGTTCACCTAGTGTGTCCACAGCCCAGCATGTAGTAGGCACTCAACAAACGCTCCTGGCCTCCTGCTTGGCAACTGAAAGAGGAGGGACAGAGGGGAGAAGCCTCAAGGTTTGCCCTGCGTGGGGCCGGGCAGCGGATGGGCACTGGCTGGAGAAAGGGCACAGGTCAGGAAGGAGGCGGCAGTCCCGCCTTATGGGGACAGTGGGCGGGCATCCAGAAGGGACAACCAGCAGTTGTTCGACTACAGTCAGGTCTGCAGCTTGGGGACTGCGTGGCGGGGTGTTTGTCCAGGAGTCTCAGGAACGGAGCCAGCTCAGATGCGGGATAGGGGGGGTGTGCCGAGGAGAGGCGTCGGGAAACCCGAGGGTCTCCGAGCTGGGAAAGGCAGAGCCGCGAGGGCGCCCTTCCTTCACCGCCCCTTCCTTGACTCGGCCACCCAGACATCGTGGACATCAAGCCGGCCAACATGGAGGACCTGACGGAGGTGATCACCGCGTCCGAGTTCCACCCGCACCACTGTAACCTCTTCGTCTACAGCAGCAGCAAGGGCTCCCTGCGCCTCTGCGACATGCGTGCGGCCGCCCTGTGCGACAAGCACTCCAAACGTAAGTGCGCATGCCCGCCGGGGCCCTGGTGGCGGTAGACGTGGGCGGGCCCGTCCCGGTGCTGGAGCCCGCGGGGTGGGCGGGGCATGGGGGTGTTCCAGATGAGCTGCAGGGGGAACTCAGTGTCTCCTTAGTGCTGCTGGAGGGGGCACCTGGTCCTGCCACCCACTGCCTCCACCCCAAGCCCCTCCACAGACGAGGGCCAGGGAGTGAGCTGGGCACTGCAAGCCAAGAAGGGACCACATTCAGCTGTCACCTTCTCCAGGAAGCCTTCCCTGATCTCCACATTGGGCCAAGCCCCTCCTTTGCACCCCCAGAGCCCCCAAAGCTTTCCTCTCACAGACTAGCCACACCCTGTGGGATTTTCTGTGGCTGCTCCGTCTCCCCCAGCAGCCTATGAGCTCCTTGGGCTCACCTCATGCTGGAACCCACCACAGGGCCAGCCACGGGGTTGCCACAGAGGTGCCAAGGAGATTCAGGGCTGACCAGTGTCCAAGGGAACCTCATAAGACAACCACCACCGCCGCAGAAGAGCTCACACTGGACACTCTGACTCAGGCACCCACCTCACTCTCTACCTGCATCATCTCATCTCATCATCACACGAGCTCCCAGCGGGTCCCGCACAGGAGGCAAAACTGAGCCTTCAGGGAAGGGCCCAGGTCACCCACACTGAAAAGTGGCAGGGTGGGACTTGAACCCGGGACTCTGGGACACCCCAACAGGTGGTCCTCACCCCCGGGCTGAGCTGCTTGGCGCTGGGCTGTGCGGCAGCTGCCCACAGATGCAGTGCTCCCCAGAGGCACCTGAAGGCAGAGGGTCAGGCCACAGGGTCATCCCTGGATGACTTTGCAGGAGTAGCAGGGGGGCAGGGGGCAGAAGTGGCCCCAGCCGGGAGGACGGGGGCTTCAGTTCATCTCTGTATCCACCCCAGTGCCTACAGCAGTGTCTGGAAATACACACTTGTTGAATGAATGAACGAATGAACAAGTGAACAAATGAATGAGTGGTGGCCAGTTGGCCCCTGGAGGGCTTTATCAAAGACTGGGGGAAGGAGGCAGAGGGCTGTTGGGAGGGACAGCGTCACTGTCTTCCCCCCAGGAGCCTGGTTTCCCTGGGCAGCCAGAGAGGACAGTGCTACCCCAGCCCCCAGGCACTCAGGCTCAGGACTGTCTGCAGCCACCAGCCCCTCCTCCCTCCTTGGCCAAGTTCTATCCCCTAGTCTTACCCCAGCCCCCTTCTCCGGGTTTGTCCACACACTCGTCCGGCTTTCCTCCTGTCCACAGCCAGGCAGGATGTCCGCCGTCTGGGTCTGCACTTGTTGGAGCTGCAGTCCCCCGTCCACGAGCCCCAGGGCTCCTCCAGTGGAGGCCTGGGAACACCCCCTCTCTGTGCACCGAGCCTTCACCTGAGGGCTGAGGCGTCAGCACTCAGGGTGGCGAGGGCAGATCTCCCTCTCTGGGTGGAGCGAGGGCCAGCAGGGCACACACAACCATCCAGGCAGGCTGTCTGTACCTGCCATGCTCCAGGCACTATTCTTGACACAGGAGTGCAGCAGGAACCAATGGGCAGACAATAAACTCCTAACTAGGTGATGTGATGTCCAGAGCGGTGAGTGGTGTAAACAGCCGCCAAAAAAGCAGAGTGTAGGGAGGGTCATGTCAGTGCCACTGACTGAGGAGGCTACAGTGGAACAGTGTCTCTGAGATGCTGAAAGAAGAGTGCCATGCAGATCTCTGGGGGAAGAATCTTCTAGAAGGGGGACACTGCAGGGGGCAAGGCTCCAAGATGGGAAGGCACCAGTGCGGCCAGATGATGATGTCTGTATAATGGAATATTGTTCAGACGTTTAAAATACTGACTTAGGAGGTTTCTAATGACATGAGGGAATGATGTTTAAAGATTCCGTGCGGGAGAAAAGCAAGGCAATGGTTACTTCACTGAAAGAATGGCAACAGAAAAGCGTGGAAAGAAATACTTCCAGAAATCGTCCCTGAGTGTGTGTGCAGGAAGGATAGAATTTAGGGAGAATAGAGATGGTTCTGTGTCCGCCCACGCTGCTTGAATGACGTTCTTCGTGGGCTGGATGCGAGAGTCACAGCCCCTCTCGGCTTCTGTAACTGTGTTAGCTGGCTTCTCAACAAGCAGCCACCCACCAGGGCGGCCACCACTCATACATTTCCCCAGCCCAGGCGCACAAGCATAGATTCCAGGCACGTCCTCGTCATACGCCTGGTGGTGTGGAGCTGCATGTGAATCAGCCCACAAAGTCAAGTGCAAGAGCTGTAAGTTTATTTTGATGACTCAACTCCATTGAATTTCTCGGCCCCTCTCCTGGGGCTGTGGTGAGTTATTAATTAACTATAGGGCCACGGAGGAGTCTGCCTCTTGAGAAGTTCCAGAAGGCTTTGGCAAGGCCAAGGTATGAAGGGAGGGACATCGCACCTTCTGACTACCAGGGGCTTTTTCAGTGGCTGGTGACACTGAGGGCAGGAAATTTTTGCATAAATGCAAAAATTATGCTTTTGGCATAAATGTTCATAGATGAAGTTGGCCTTTAATTTTCTGTGCCTACACTCTCTGCACAGTTTTATTAAGAAGATTGTTCTCTTGTAAAATGAGCTGGCTGATTTCTCTTTTTTCCCTAGAATATTTAGTATAATACATCAGCTCCTTGAAGTCTTAGTAAAACTCAAGTGTAAACCTTTTTTGATTATTGGTTTGTATAGGTTTTCTATGAGAGTTAATTTGCATCAAAAATGTATTTTAAATTTTTCTAGAATTTTCTTTTCATTCTCAAACTCAATACTCTGCACTTTCTCATTAATGCCAGTGACAGGATTGTTCATCAGTCTTTGTACAATACATTGCAGCTTCTGTTTTCCTTCCCTCATTTAATTTGCCGTAAGTTGCGAGTAGAGGAGATATCTGCCCTGCTGTCTGCTTTCTCCAGATCGCGTTTGTTCTTAGCCCTCATCTGGCAAGCAGACGATTGCCAATTAGGTAGTTATTTTTAATCAGAACAAATGGTTGTTATTGGAGCCAGGTCTTTTTATAAAGAGACTTGGAGGTTAGGACCCATTCTTTGCATCTCACTTCTCTATATTTACTTAGTTACTACTCAGAGCTCAGGGGATGGCTGATAGAGACACCCCCAGAGATGAATGGTCACAGCATCATTTTCTCAACAGATAAGACCGTGATTTTCTGTTCTCTGAAGGAAGGGCGTCCCGAATCACAAGTGGATCACGTGTTGACTTCTGCTGTTGGGCAGATGAGGAAACCGAGGTCAGAGAAATGCAGTGGCTTCCCCATGCTCCTCCCCGTCAAGGGCAGAGCCAGGAAGCACGGGCTGCTGCTACCCAGCCCACAGCTTGCTGTCTTTCTCCAAAGCAGTAGAAATCCGGGTCTTTTGTCTGCTGGTCATTATGACAGGGTAACCATGGAAACGACTGTGCCTGAATCCTCAAAATAGACAGTTATTTCTGCTTTTCACAGGACAGAGTCTGCCAAAAGGAAGGGCTGTGCCGAAGCACGAAGATTCCCTAGAATAGGTGGTAATGACAATCGCTCCGCCTGGTGGAACCCCTACTCTGTGACAGCCCGATGCTGGTTGAAGCAGGAACCGCAGTTAACATTGGTCAAGGGCTTGCTACACACCAGGTGCTGCTCGAAGTTTACATCTCATTAAGTCCTGAGAGCTACCCTATGATGGAGGTGCTCGATTATTCATTTTATAGATGAGAAAACCGAGTGTATTAGTTTCCTCTGGCTGCTGTAACAAACAGTGGCTGAAAACAACACAGATATATTCTTTTACAGTTCTAGAGGGCAGAGGTCTAAAATTCACGTGTTGCCAGGCCTGCATTCCTTCTGGAGGCTTCGGGGGAGAATGTTTCCTTGTCTTTTCCAGCTTCTAGAGGTCACCCACGATCCTTTTCCATCTTCGAAATGCATCACTCCAACCCCTGCTTCCATCATGCCATCTCTTCTTCTGCCTTTGACCTTCCTCCTTCTCTCTTATGATTACAGAGGGCCCACCTGGAGAATCCAGGATAATCTCTGCAGCTCGAGACCCTTAACATCTGCAAAGTCTTGTCACGTGAGGTAGCATGTGCACAGGTTCCAGGGATGAGGATGCGGCTGTCTTTGGGGGCCATTATCGTTTATCACACAGAGGCACAGAGAGGTTAAGACATTTCCCTAAGGTCACAGAGCTAAGTGGAACCAGGATAGAGGCTCCAGTAGTCTCATGCCTGTCAGCCTGTGTTCTTTCTCACTTAATCTTCACAGAAGCCTTGAGAATAAAGAACTCTTATGGAAACTGTGGATGAGCCAGGTTCATTTAAAGGGTCTGGGTGGGGTAGACTCCCAGGACTCATCTCTGGTAATGGATCTGGGATAGAAAGACCAGACCTAGCCCCACTCTGTTGGAGAGGCTCCAGATATCTGGGGGCAGAGCCAGGGTAAAGCCCCCAACAGAGGGCACAGCCAGGGCCCTGTAGCTGGATCCTGAGGCCCGTGTGGCAGGAGCGGAGTCGGGGGAGGTGGGGGTGAGGTTAGACACGCACGGAGAGAGGAGGCTCCACATGTGGAGAGCAGAGGGTCCACATGCAGAGGACTTTACAGACCATGGCGGGGGCTCTGGGTTTACTCTGAAAGGACAGGAGCCACAGGGGGCTTTGCCTGGCTGTGTTTTTTTTTGTTTTTGTTTTGTTTTGCGGTACACGGGCCTCTTACTGATGTGGCCTCTTCCGTTGCGGGCACAGGCTCCGGACGCGCAGGCTCAGCGGCCATGGCTCACGGGCCCAGCCGCTCCGCGGCACGTGGGATCTTCCCAGACCGGGGCACGAACCCGTGTCCCCTGCATCGGCAGGCGGACTCTTAACCACTGCGCCACCAGGGAAGCCCCCTGGCTGTGTTTTAATAGGAGCCCCCTGGCTGCTGAGAGGAGGGTGGAAGTGGGGACCAGCTGGGAGATTAGTCCAGTAACCCAGATG